TGTCATCTAAATAGACCAACACCTCTATCAGGTTCATGTCCCCCACTGTCCGTTCCATAAGCCTTTGAAAGGTTGCTGGAGCCCCTGACAACCCTTGTGGCATTTGATTGAATTCATAAAATCCCAATGGGCAGATGAATGCAGTTTTGTCCCTATCCTCTGGATGCATGGGGATCTGATGGTAACCACTGCTTAAATCTAACACACTGAACCACTTTGCCCCTGACAAACACTGCAACGCATCCTCTATCCGAGGAGTTGTATACTGGTCAGGGATGGTCCTCTGGTTAAGGGTACGATAATCTATACACATCCTTAGGGTCCTGTTCTTCTTTCAGACCACCTCTATAGGGGAAGCATAAGGACTTCGAGACTCCCTAATGACCCCAGTCCTTTTTAACTCTTCTAGGTGCTCCCGAAGATCATCTAAGTCGCTCAAAGGGATCCGTCGGGACCTTTCCCTAAAGGGTTTATCCTCCCTCAGTCAGATTTCATGTTTAGCACTCCTAGCGCAGCCTACATCAAAATCATTTCTCGAGAATAAATGCCTCCACCTCCAAAGCTGGTCCCTTGCTCTCTCTCATCACTCAGGAGGAAGTTGGTTATTCCTAGGATAAAACTGATCCATCAAAACCTCTCCCTCCATCTCTCCCTTACCATCCAGAGACTCGATTGGAGTAGCTGGGCTCACCTGCCCCAACAACATCCAATCCTTCAGCTTCACCGGGAGGCCTGTGATATTCCGAACTCCAACCGAGATCTGCCCCTTTTCTTGCTTCAATACCCACATGGAGATTACCTCTGGAATCAATTCCACTCCACCATTCTGTCCCCTCGGGCCAGGCTCAAGAATGAGATACGGCCCACGCTGCTCCCAATCTAACTTAATGGAAGCCCTCAGGCACACCACTTCCCCAGGTTGTATTACCCTCTTTCTCTTATCCAATTTCCATAACCACCCCACTCCCTCTGCAGGGGCCTCCTGCTCCCGCACCAAACCCTGACATACTGTCTGCAGTGCAGGATGAACATTCCTCACTATCGGGTCCTTCCCTAATGGAATGACTGGGGTAAGTAACCGCCTAACTAAACTGGTGTTAGTCCCCACAATCAATGAACCCTGGCTAACTCCCGGGGGGCAAGCACATATGATAGCCAAGGTATCCAAGGTCTCCGTATGCGCAGCAACAGAGGGCCCAAACGTCAGCTGTATAGGCAAACATACATCATAGGGGAATTTTTCAGTACCAATACCACAGATCTTCAAATCACCCAACTCCTCTATGGGCATATGCATCAAATACTTATCATAAAAATCCCTATATAGTAACATCACCTGCGTACCTGAATCCAAAAGAGCCTTAGTATAAATTCCTTCCACCTGCACCGGCACCACCGGGGAGGGGCCCACCAACTGCTGAGGAAACATGGCTTTAGTCTCTGCCAGTTCAAGGGGATGGGGGTTTCTTATCAGAGAGGATACCCCCATTACTCTCATTTCTGCTGAGGATTCCCAAGAAAATCCTCTCTCACCAGGGCTGACTGATATCACCGGGCGCCCAGCTAGCTCCTTCACCCAGGGCCCATGACAATTTCCCGAATGCACTGGATTCCCTGATCTTCTATACGATTTTGGACATGCACACTTATAATGCCCCATGCCCCCACAATTATAGCAGACCACTGATCTCATTGGATTATTATCCCAGGCAGGCAGGCCCATCCTCCCATCAGTTATTCCAACCCAATCTCCATTCAGGGGTGGGCCACCCACTGTTGACCAGGAGGCTATTATCTTGGTTAGCTCCTGTATCTGGGTTTGCATCGTAGTTATCTGGTCATCCTTCTCCCTTACCTCTCTCACTCCTGGCCTACAGGTTGTCCTACCGGCAATTCAGCGGTCACCTCTTTAGCCTCCTCCACAACCTCGGTTGCCCATACCCTCCTTATAAGCTCATGATATCCCCAGGCATTCCCTCTAGCTTTGACCTTTATTTGGCTCCAGACAAGGTCCGAAGCCAAAGCACCCCGGGAGAGTTGTTCTATCCTGGCCTGTTCCACCCCAGCTGGATCCAATCCCCCCTTCTTCACTATCTTATATAAGACCCCACGTGCAGTGTTACCTCCTCAGAGGCTGCCAAAAACCAGGCCCTCCCAGCCCCATCCCCCTTTGTCAAGCCCTGCAGTAGTGTTCTCTAGGGGTTGATAAGACGTCTCTTCCAGCCAGAGCTCATGCAGAATTAGTAAGTAGCAGGCTCTTGTCATCAAGGAGGGGCTTCCAGGAATGAAAATAACCAGTCACAATAGTCAATGCTATGATGATATCCAACAGCCCAAGGCCGGTATAGCAGCAGGAATAAAAGATTCCTCAGCAATCGTTCAGAGTCAAGTGGGATGGAGGAAAACCCTGGCTCCAGATGGTAGTAGAAACAACAACAGTCAGTGTGCTGTAGCAATAGCTCGTCCCCCAGGGCAACTCCCCCACAATGTCTAAAACCTGTACCAGCAGCAATAGTCACAGTCCAAAATAGCCTCCAGGCTTTGCAGCAACAATAGCCACCAGCAATCTCTCCTCTCCTTCTGTTGCTTCTTCTTCAGTCAGGTTTCAGAGTCAAAGCCCTCCCCCCTTTATCTTTATTGTTAAAATCTGAGGCTAGAAGCCTCAGCCAACTCCTTTCCACACATACTCTCTCTTGCCTCCATTTGAGATATCCTCCTTACGAAGGAAGCAATAAAACTCCACTCTCTCCCTCCCTCTAGCCTCTGTTTAAAATATCCTCTTTACGAAGAAAAGCAAATAAAACTTCCAGTCCCTTTACCTTCACCTGACGAACTGCAACAACAACAGCTCCCGGCCCTTTCCTTTCCTTCCCTTCTCTATCTTTTCTTCTGCCCATGCCGGCCACACCCAAAGCCAGCAGTAGCTGTCCCAATCTCTTGCTTCCCAACCAAGTTCCTGCAAACACACTCAGACATCCCCGCTACACTTCAGGCTCAAGGATGGGATTCAGCTGGTTCGCACCACTTTGGCAGAACCGCTAGCTAAGTTTTTGTTTCCCAGGCCCAGAATGGATTTCTGGAAGCGGCATCCACACAGAACTGGTTGTTCACATATTTAAATCCTGCCATTGTTCAGGCTGCATGATATAGAACCAAGTTACATAAGGATGTGAAGGGTTCTGGAACAAAGGGAAATTGTTTTGTCTAACTGTTGGTTTCTTGCTTTTTGGCTCTGTTGTCTGATTTTCAATGGCTAACAAAGTTCATAAAGCAATGCTACCAACTTTCTAATGTGTGGCATGTCTGGACATGACTCTGCCAGCATTCCAGATTGTTGGCCACCCAGCTGCTTAATTTGATCAAATAAAGTACTGCTTGATCAAGAAGTCTCTGCTTGGGTTATCTAATTAGTTTAATATGGTATCTCAAATTTAAGTAATGGACTGGGACCTTACATCACTATGCATGTATTTCATTTGTATGGTGCCAAACACAAAGTTTTTTTCACCCCAGGCTTTCCCATTTCTACCCATCCCCCAAACTGAGGTGCCAATGGCCAGGAGGACACAGCCTGTGATACAAAGACCCAGACGGGCACGTCTCCCTTTTAGGGTGGAGGCACCCTGAACACTGTGCCTTCCCCCACTTTTCCCAAGGGTCGGCATTGCTGGGGAACCCCCTCCAAGGATGGAAGCAACACCCAGAGCAGCTGGGTTCCTCTCCCCAGCTGGCTGCAAGCGAGCTCCTGTCTTCTTACTGCAATGAGGCTGACGAAGCAGTGGCTTCCACAAAGTGACTTTCACCTGCACAACAGGCCACCAAGACGCTGGAATCAGCAACGGGGAGGCTAGAGCAGCATCAGAAGAATGGGCGCAAGGATGCTCTAGCTCTGCCCATCATTTTCCTGTTGGTTCACAACCCCAAAAGCACAGCTGCTTCTAGAGCGGAGGAGGGGAACTATGGCTCCTCTTATGACTTGTGAACTTCAATTCCCAGAATTCCTGAGCCAGTCTGGTATCATAGCTGGATACCCTTCCCCCCCCAGTTGTACAGACTTCAGCTTCCTAATTCCCCACAATTACCATCCTGACTGGGAAATTCTAGGAGTTGAAGTCCAGGTGGCTGGAGAGGATGAAATTTAAAGGTTAAAACTAATTTTAAAAAAGTCAAATTCAAACAAATTACAGCTGTGGAGAGTGTCCATCCAGTGCTTTGCATAGCCAGCTTTCCTGATCTCCTTTTCCAAAACTAGATCCCAGAATGGAAAATGTGGAATGTTTTCAAACCAGTCTCACAACCCTAAAAATTGTTGGACTTAAGTTAGTATCAGTTTCCCCCACTATTCATAATATAGAAACAGTTGTTTTTCCACACCACCCAAACGAATGGGACAACTGAGTGTGTGGTTGCCTTTATATGGTCCAATTGCCCTGGCTTTTTTAGGTTTAAAAATATTTCCAGTTAAAAGAAAAAAAATCTGTTTTCCTTCCGTCCTAAACCTGAAGTGAATTCTGCACCAACATCTCACATAGACTGCATTAATCACATATTAGGATTTTTTGCTTTCTGAAGGGTCTATTTATATCCAGTCTTGTTATCAGTGTTCTTTCATGCTTCAGGCTCAAGGGTGGGATTCAGCCGGTTCGCACCACTTCGGCAGAACTGGTAGCTAATTTTTTGTTGCCCAGGCCCAGAATGGACTTCCGGAAGAGGCATCCAAAAATAAAACTGGTCGTTCACATATTTGAATCCCACCACTGTTCAGGCTGCATGATAGAGCCAAGTTACATAAGGTTGTGAACGATTCTGGAACAAAGGGAAATTGTTTAGTCTAACTGTTGCTTTCTTGCTTTTTGGAATTGGCTTTTGCACCAGAGAAATTTCATGCAATCTTGGGTAACGTGTACATGGATGGGATATACATGTACATGGAAGGAGGGAATAAGAGAGTGTCTTTCTTATGTCTTTCTTAGGATGTAATGGCTCTGTTGTCTGATTTTCATTGGCTAACAAAGTGTATAAAGCAATGCTACCAACTTTCTAAGACGTGACACTTCTGGACGTAACTCTGCCAGCGTTCCAGATTGTTGGCCATCCAGCTGCTTAATTTGGTCAAATAAAGTGCTGCTTGATCAAGAAGTCGCCGCTTGGTTTATCTGATAAGGTTGATACAGTATCTCAGGTTTAATTAAGGAATTGGAATCTTACAGGTGAGAAACTGGCGTTTTTTCCACATCTGTCCTTCTGCCTCGGAGTGGAAGAGAACAAAGTGATTAATCAAATATTTTGAACTGTGCATTCTTGCCAAAATTGTTACCTATTTCTAAATTCCAGGTAAACAGTTTGTCGCGCAGAGTTGAAGCTATGGTGCTGATCAGAGTGCTGGCAAACCTTCTGATACTACAGCTTTCTTACGGTAAGAGCCTGGACAATGGACGGAGGATGGACGGAGCTTTAGGTATCTTTTTAGGTTTAAACCTCCAGTTACAGGAGTCAAGTTGCATGTTATTATTAACTGTAGATGTACAAGCAGGTCACAAGTAGAGAGTGGGCGAAGGAGGCCCCATTGGTGCAAATGGGGAAGACCATTTCTGTATTTGTAATGATAGTATGAATATGAGCAAAACTAGCCAGTTAAAAATATATAGTCTCAAATATGGTCAGCTTCTTTTCTTGTTTCTATTTATTTGGCAACTGACTTCAATAGAGGAAGATAAATTATTAATTAATATAAAATGCCTTGAAAAAAAAGTTGGGGAGAGGTTTTCAGTGTTAAGGTGGTCTTTAAAAAATGTTGTATGAGATAGCCATTGATTTTTGTCCAAACTTGTAAAATAAATCTGTGGGATTTAACCTAGCTCTCCTTCTGTTAGATTTGCTGCATTATACAGCGTGCAATATCTGGGTCATTGCTTCTGAAACAAATATCAAAACCGGTATGTAGGGATTTTATTGCCATCAGTGTTGGCTCAAACTGTTTTTAGTGAACTAAATACTAATGTTATCAACTTCCCATCCAAACTCATAGATTGAATTCCATTTTCATCAATCTCTTCCCCACTTTCACTCCTTCTGCCCCCTATTCTGCACATCACAAGGCCATATATTTTGCTTAGCAATGCAGTACAACAAGATCAGACTCTGGACCAAATGCTTCTAAATGTCCATCAATTGATAATACATTTCTCTGAGCCTCTTTTCTCCCAATAGTATTCTCCTTCTTCAGCATTAAACAAATATAATTTTTGATATTTGATATTTTCCATATATAAATAACTAAATAAAAACATTGTCTTCTATATTTATACCAACAATAATATTGTCCATACATAGCATTTTTTTCTTATTAGCTTATGTTGTTTTCATAAAAGTCATATTATTGATTCACCATATACCTTATTTTCATAAATCTTGTTTAAGCTCAAGTTCATAATATTCAAACAATTCTTATCAATCATAATTTTCTCAATAATTAACATCTAAATATCCAAATTTTCCACTTAAATATATCATCCCAGTATTTTCATATTTCATATATTATAGAAATACTATACTACTTATCTATCATAACATCTACCTATAACCTTTTCTAATTCTATTGATAAAAATTGACTGAATCACTTTATATCCTTTTTTTCAAAGTTCTTATTAAGCCTAATTCCCCCTCAGTATTTCAATCATTCCTTAATCCTAAATCTTTTCAAACTTAATTTGTCTTTAAAGTTCAAACTTTTCTTTCACTTTCATCATCCCAATATTTTTACATTTTGTATCTTATCAAAAAATACTATATTAGTTATATCTCTTATCCCACTTATTCTAAAGCCCCTTTGTTGCCAAAGCTATTTATTTATTTAGTCATATTCAAACAAGTGTTTTATTCTGACCCATATAGCTCTATGGACCATATAGCTCTATGTTGGAGTGTCTGGCAGTTATTGGGTTAAATGCTAGGTATGTGGATGGGTCAGAGGGAGGAGTTCCAAAGGTCATTGGGAGACTTTCTGGACACAAGCCACATGGGAATCTTTTTGTCTGTAAGAAGCATGGGCCATGGAAGGTAACACAACAAGCCTGAGTAATTATAAAGATGGTATGAAGAGCAATACTTTCTTACCTAAAGTGATGATCTAAAAAATGGACAAAGATGTATTTCCAGCAGCACCAATCACAACATGAACGCAAGTAATCTTTCTCAATAAAATATATTTTGTTTATTATAAGATCGTTTCTTTTGAGTTAACTATCTGACTTGATTTAAAAGAAAGCACTTTAGATTTGAGTCAGAATATGTTTGCTCATTTAATGTTCCATCTGGTAGGGCGAGTCAAATCTCTTAAGCCATCTCTAATCTTCTTCCTTTGCCAAATTCTTTTTCATCTTAATATTTTGACTTGTCAAACAGTTCTTATACTTTTGTAGTTGTTGTTAGGCGTAGAGGATACATAATACAGAAGATGTATGCTTTTTGTCTCCCAAACAGTGATTCTCCTAACAATGTCCATTTTGTTAAGTCTTCTTTCTTCTCCGGTTTATTTTGACGTTCTAATGCATAAGGCATCTTTTCCATATTTATTTATTCCATATTTCCATATTGTGAATTTTTTCTTATTTGTATTAAGTAATAATTCCCTTCTTTTGTGACTTTGCCAATTAAGTCATTTTTTTCTAGTTCACATTCTGTTACCTGATTTGTTTGTTTATTCTTTACCATCATTCTTTGAATGTGTTTTGATTGTAAATGTATTTATTTATGTTGTCAAAGTTATGTTTAATCTCCTCGTGGTTTAGAGCAGGGGTGTCAAACTCAATTTCATTGAGGGCCGCATCAGCATTGCGGTTGCCCTTGGGGAGCTGGGTGGGTGTGGCCAGGGTGGGTGCAGCCTACTGGGTGAGTGTGGATGGAGTGGGTGCGGCCTATTGGGTGGGCATGGCCAGCTCTACATTGTTCATGTCAAGGGGGCCTGTGGGGGCTTGGGCAGGAGTGGGACAGATCTGAGGATCTCTGGCAGAAGGGCTGGGACCAGGGCTAGCGCCAAGGCATGGTCCATTTCTTCATTCCTCACGAAGAGTGACACCTCCCCAGCATACACCCAGGGGCGGGGCCGACCCCGGTCGGCCTGGGCCAGGGCCCAGGCAGCGGGGGCCGTTCCCTCACTGTTTCTAGGATGGCTTTGCGGGCCACATGAAACCACTTTGTGGGCTGCATCCGGCCCCCAGGCCTTGTGTTTGACATGTCTGATTTAGAGCTATTGTGATTTGTATCTGTCATAGCATTGCATAAATTTCTTCTTGGAAAGTATTTGTTTTGTCTTGAAAATTTGCTTCTTGAGGTCTTTGATCTTTCTGGCTAAATCCTTCAAGAGACTAGAAGTCTCAAAATTTTTGTTGCTTAAGTGAAAAATCTGTTTAGTGAGTTTTGTCCCATTTTACAACCTTTCTTACTACAGTGGCTAAGTCAATCACTACTATTGTTAAGTTAGTACACTGTTGTTAAATTAATCTGGCTTCTTCATTGACTTTGCTTGTCAGAAGTGATCACACAATGCAGGGATACTGCAACTGTCATAAATATGAGTCACATGCTAAGCATCTGAACTTTTTTCACATCACCGTGGGAATGCTGCAATGGTCATGTGAAAAACTGAATAGCATCAGCCATTCTGATGGCTGATATCTAAGGCATCTGGTCTTATGAGAAGCTGTGGCATATTTTGCTTCACTTCTCCGCTGCTCAGTAACTTTCCTCAGGGCCATTGTAAATTTGAATGGTCACTAAATTAATGGTTGTAAGCCAAGAACTACCTATATTAATAACTAGATCCTCATTGTGCAGGGGGGCTGAGTGGAAAGTACTAAACATCTGTCTCCAGCTTTGCTTGTACAAGCTTTCGGATTTTGGCCTTTGTTTTGCAGTTTGAAGATCTATGAAGTTCAATTCCCAGAATTCGCCATGCTGGCCAGAGACTTGTGGGAATTGAAATCCATACATCTTCAAGTTGTCAAGGTTGAGAAACGCTGATTTAATTGGTTGAAAGTACAATCATTGATATTGTGGCTGATAAGATGCTCTAAGGATCTTCTATACTTCCAGCAGCAAGACCCTGCTTTAAATAACTAGGATCCTGGAGTGAGAATTCATAGGGTGATAAAAGTGTCTGTTTCACTTCTCTATTGAATAAGTCAATTCTCCTGTTTTGGAAATCTTTCCACGCCCAAATCTTATCACCACTAAGAAAGCAAAGCCTGCTTCACTAAATTGTTAAGTGTTCAGAAGACCCTGGTCATATCTTATTTCAGAGCACAGTGAGCTAGCTGCGTAATATTTAATGAATGTTTGCTTTCATAAACCATATTTGAAGGAATGGGGAATAAATTTTCCGTTGTTGTTATGTTAAACAAGAAGATCTCAAACTGAGTTCTTATCTTCAGATAAGATAGGATAATTTTATTGTCAATTTTCTGTGAACACACTGGCACACGTTAAAAATGAAATTCTGATGCCCTTTCTCAAAAGTGTATGTTTGTATACACACATACACACATACACACACACACACAGTATATCATTAAGATTCACAGGTAGTTTACCTACATGGGCAAAGGCATATATATGATTTGCAAATAATTCATTTTATTCTACTGGTTTGATGCTGTGTGTCCCACAGTTATCTGTTACCCATCAAAATTAGTGTACTGATAGAAACACTACCAATAAAAGCAATTCTCTTCTACTCCACAATCAAACACTGAACTTTTTTGGTTTCTTTGCAGCACAAAAGTCTTCTGAACTGGTCGTTGGAGGTCATCCATGTAACATAAATGAACATCGTTTTGGAGGGAGTTTATATAGAATGATGATTGTATTTAGATTTGTTTAGGATTTAAAAGTGTTTCTAGTTTTTAAATATTATTATTAATATTTTTAAGAGAAAATAATTTGTTTAATTAAATGTGCTTAGATTTGTTTAGGACTTATAGGTTTTTTAAGTTTTTTTCTTTTTGGATAGGAGAGAAGATTATGAAGATTGAAGGAAATATGTATTTACTTTAAGTTTTTTAAGAGTATTTAGCTTTAATGGTATAACAAAGATTTGTATGTTTATTTTTTCGTTTTAGGATAAAGAAAGAGGGAGAAATTAGATTTTACATTATAGATATAGATATTCAAAGAAAGTAATGTTTAAATTTGTGTTTTTGGAGGGAGTTTATATAGAATGATGATTGTATTTAAATTTGTTTAGGTTTTAAAAGTGTTTTAAGTTTTTTTTTTTTTTTAATTAAGCCTGTACTCAGCTCTGGGAAGTCCAGGGGAGGGTTTGGGAGGTTGGGAAGGGGGGGGGTGAGGTAGGGGGGGGGTATGGGAAGGGGATTTGTTTCTGTAAAATGTAAAAATTTTCAATAAAAATAAAAATAAAAATAAAAAAAAAAAAAATGAACATCGTTCCCTTGTTGTCTTGTTTAACTCCAGCAGTTTTCTCTGCGCTGGGACTTTGATCAATGAGGAATGGGTGCTCACCGCTGCACACTGCGACAGGTGAGGGCATTACAGAATGTGGAAGGGTTGAGGGAGATCGTGGTTAGATATCCACAGTTTTTTATAATGTTTCTGCTAGTTTTTAGTGATTTTTCTGTGTATTTTGAATTTCTGCTCTTACTGCTATCGCTCCTCAGAATCATATCTTCAGCAATGTTGTTTATATGGTAAGTGAGCACTTGTCCAGCCTAGATGAGTTCAAATCACCAGGATCAGATGTATTACACCCCAAGGTTCTCAAAGAACTGGCAGATTTGATCTCAGAACCACTGAGCTATATTTTTCAAAGATCCTGGAGCACTGGGGAACTACCAGAGGACAGGAAAAGAGCTGATGTAGCTCCCATCTTCAAAAAAGAAAAAAAATGGATCCGGGAAATTACAGACCTATCAGCCTAACCTCAATACCTGGGAAGATTCTGGAAAAGATAATCAAACAACGAATCAGCAAACACCTAGAGGCAAACGAAGTCATTACTGAAAGCCAACATGGGTTTGTCAAAAACAGATCATGTGAGACAAATCTTATTGCATACTTTGACCAAGTGACAAAATTAGTGGATCAGAGGAATGCTGTGGATATAATTTACTTGGGACTTCAGTAAGGCATTTGATAAAGTAGATCACAACGTACTACTTGATAAGATAGAAAAATGTGGGTTAGACAGTGTTCTGTTTCAGAAGAAGAGGCATTGAGACGAAGCAATGAGTTCCAACAGTTTTCCTTTATTGCAAACACCAACAGAACAGGTTTTAAAATGGTGCAGCCCCCTTTTATAGCCCCCCTGCACAATAACATGCTGGCCAATCATTGCAAAGGATCTTTTCCCAGAGTGCGTGTGTGTGCAAGGCTGGGAGCAGTCTTTCTTGTCCCGGGCATCCACATGATCTGCCCAGGCCAATCGCTGCAGCATGCGGCTGCTGGTCCAGGACATAACACCAGCATTACCACCAGATGGATTCATAGCTGGAGAAGGTAGGTTATGGTCCTTTCTTGTTTGGCGCTAACGATCTTGCTTGAGGGCCAAACTGAGGTCAAGGACTATCCCAAGTAATATAGAGTTTACTTTAAGTTGTTGTTGTTAACTTGTTGTTGTTTGTCTTGTAGTAAAAATTTCCAGATGCAGCTTGGTGTGCATAGCAAAAAGGTACTAAATGAGGATGAGCAGACAAGAGACCCAAAGGAGAAGTTCATTTGTCCCAATAAGAAAAAAGATGATGAAAATGACAAGGACATCATGTTGATCAGGCTGGACAGCCCTGTTAGCAACAGTGAACACATCGCGCCTCTCAGCTTGCCTTCCAGCCCTCCCAGTGTGGGCTCAGTATGCCGTATTATGGGATGGGGCACAATCACACCTACTAAAGGTAGGGATCTCTGTCTATACTCTCAGACCCCAGCTTTTGATGTAACATCAACTAGGTCTAGGGTCCCACTATGTCACCCATGAATATTGGAATGTGGACGGACAATGGGATTCCTTAAGATTCCGTTTCTTCATCAGTTCCACACCCACAAGGTCCTTGGAATAAAAGAAATAAGTAAGGAACTGGCATGCTGTATACCTAAAAAAAGAAAACCTATAGGATCAGGTTTATTTATAGCAGTGCTGTTGGGAATCAGAAAAATCCCATTAGCATGGCAGTCTTGTGTGGCTTCATTGCCTTTAATAATGGGGTGTTTTGTGAATGGCCATGGCCCTTTTGGAAATGGAGAAGTCTCCCATGGAGGATGTTTTCAGAGAACTTTATTTACCACTCGCTCTCAAAATGCCAAATATGAACTCAAAAACGTGGTCTATCCTTGGATGGATATAAACTCTCTGTGGATGGTTGCAGAGGACTTTTTCCTTTTAAGCCCTGGTGGTGCAGTGGTTAGAATGCATTATTGCAGCCTATCTCTGCTCCCAGCCTGGAATTCGATCCTGACGGGGGTCAAGGTTGACTCAGTCTTCCATCCTTTTCCAGTTGATAAAAGGAGGATTCAGATTGTTGGGTGCAATATGCAGATATTGTAAATCACCCAGAGAGTGCAGTATATAGGTCTAAGTGCTATTGCTATTGCTAGTAAGGCCATGGAAGTGTTACATGCACTCTCAGCTTTGGCTTATGGTCATCCACACATTCAAGCCTGCCAAAGTAGGTAGATCTTGTAAGCCTACCTTGTTTTCTACCTAGGTTTAGCTAGAACAGACAAGTCACACAGTCTTGGTCAAGAGCTGGGAAATAATTAAGGACTCACACAAATAATTTTCAACTAAACATTGAGGCACCACAGGTTTTTTGGAATACATGGAGATCCAGTGAATTTAAAGTAATAGCAAAACATTACTGCTTGCAATGTAAATTTGCTCTTTCTCATACCCAAACATGGACCCATCCATATTTAGACACATCCTTCTCAATTAGGCTGTCAGGCAACAGCTAGAGGGACAGAAACTCCTAAGTTGTGGATCCAAAATGTCTCAAGGAGTGGGAGAGCTTTAGGACCCCTTTTTATCCTGAAAAGTTCTTGATTTGTTGATTAGCTGGGATTGGGGTTTATTCCATATTCTCAGGCCCAACTTTATCTGATTCAGATGACATTTTTCCTTTGTTTCGTTAGACTTATTTCTACCTCATCTGTCTCCCCAAGGGATCTTTTGGACAAGATTCCTGATTTATTTTCTTGTATACAATACAAACTTATGGGTCTGCTCCATCTTCAGATATGGAAGTTTCAGTATTCTGGCTGAGGAATTTTGGGAGTGGAAGTTCCCAAGTCTTAAAGTGGCTAGGTTTGGAAACCTCCGTTCTAGGTCATCTCCAGGGATGCAAAATCAGTTCTGTGATTTTCGAACTAGCAAAAGCCCCACTTTTCCAACGAGGCAATCTTTGCGTAGAGTGCGGAGAAATTTGAGAAGCCTTCAACTGCCCATCAGCTGATGGAATACCTACTAATATCTTGAGAAAAAAACTTTTAAGTAAATCTGTTTTTCCCAGGAGTCCCTTTGAACAGCTTTGAAAGACAATACTTCCTATTCCAGGCAATGAGATCAGCTTCACTGTTTGGAGACAATGGAAATTATAGCTCTATGCATCTAGGTGGTAAATTGTGAAAGGTAGAATTTTTTTTTTTAATTTTTTTCAGAGACGTATCCCGATGTCCCTCATTGTGCTAACATTAACATACTCGATCATGCGGTGTGTCGAGCAGCTTATCCATGGAATCTGGTGACAAGCACAACATTGTGTGCAGGTACCCAGCAAGGAGGCAAAGATACATGTAGGGTAAGATGATTCCTTTTAACACAGACTCCTAAAGAAATGATGCCAAATTTCAAAGCTAGGACAGAGATCTAGCCTTGAAGGCATTTTGTAGAAACATACAAAGTTATGCCTTTTACTAACTCAAGGGCCTTCTAGGTGTCTAGATTTCCAGACTTCCCAATATTGGTGATTCTGGTGGGGGAACATTCTTCTACAAGGATCCTGGATTGGGGAACATTGAAGTGAAACATTGGGGGCTATATGTGAATGGACGATGGGAGGGAATTGTTTGCTTCACTTCCCATTCATAGATACGGTAGTAATGTTTCATGTTTGATTTTTCTCAACAGGGTGACTCTGGGGGACCCCTCATCTGTAATGGACAATTCCAGGGCATTGTATCTTGGGGGGGGGGCATCCTTGTGGCCAAGCACATGAGCCTGGCGTCTACACCAAGGTCTTCAATTATACTGACTGGATCCAGAGCATTATTGCAGGAAATACAGATGCGACCTGCCCCCCATGAAAACTTTTGAAAAAGTTAGGAGGAGAAAATGTAACATATTTGTACATCTCTTCTATATCCCTAACCATATCCAACTACATTGGAATATATTCCCAGGCAGTAAGCTTTTTTTAGACTCAAATAGGACTGCCTTTGGAGTAAGAAATGCTCAAAATAGTGCTGCAGGGATCATGTCCCATTTAATTTCAGTATAAAACAATCTCAGTAAAATGGAGGCCTGTTTCAGGGTGAGGTGCAAAATTTTCTGATTCTAAAATGGACCATTCCAAATATTTTAACCTCTGAATATCTTTCCATTTCTATCTATGTCTGGGACAGTGGGGTCCTTGATGCTCTCTGAGCTTGTTTTTTTCAAGATGTTTCTGTCAGAATCCAATTATATTTCATCTTTAATTATCAGATATAGCAGCTCCCAATTCTGCCTTCTCTGGATTCTGCCATCAGAGGGAGAGAAGGGGGAGAACAAAGGGGCTTTATGGCCCTCACTTCCTTCAGTACACTTCAAAGAGCTGAATGCTGAATGTGTGTTTATTGTAACCTCGAAGCGTTAACATACCAAAGGGTATTTGCCTTTCATGTAGTTATCTGAAGTCTCCATCCAGACGGAAGAAAGAAGAAAGGGGGTGGAATTGTGATACTTGAAACTATCACTGGAAGGGGGGTTGATTGGGTGGGACTACTGGGGAACCCCTTAAAACCTTGAATGGGAGAGCTTGAACCCCAAGTCCTGTCTAGCATGCCTGCAACCATTTTCTCTTAATAAAGGATTCCTGTTGGAAGAATTATTCCAAGAGTTCTGTCTTCTTAAGATGCAAAGTGGGGTGGGTCCTTACATTAGACAGGACTTGCAAAATTAATCCACCTGGAAGGGAGACCCTTGCCGGGGGATTTTGCAAAAAATTTACCATGTCAGACAATGGAGAAAGAGAGGGGGAAAACTCCCTGGAAAGAGAGCCGCTGACCCAGTTGAAACCTTGCCAGATGTTGGGATCTGAGAGGTCAGATTCCTCGGGAGAAGAAGTGGTGGAGACACAGGACCACAAGCCTCGCTGGTCGATGAACGTTGGAAAGAAAAGTGAATGGAGAAAGGAATCAAGAAAGGTGACCCTGAGACGGGGGACCAAGCAACCAGAATGGAAGCAGGAGATGGAGAAATCCCTGCACGCAAGTGAAGAAGGAGAAAGCTGGGCACCGTATTCAGACTGGATCCTAGAGAAAGCTATTGACCTGATGAAGAGAACTCTCAGCTCCCTAGGAGAGGAGAATACTGAGCCCTACGGCCGCCCCAGTTCCTGGAGCCACAAAGGGAGAGACACCGAGGGGGACGTGGAACCTGCAACCCCAGGGACATCTACTGATCCAGGAGCCCCCACCCCCTACCGGACCACAGATGGCAATCTGGACGGAAGACACTACCACCCACAACGGAGGCACCGATCCATTCCAAGACGTCCACCGTTGGAGGTGAAATTCAAAGGGGAGCCAACACGCTTGGGGTTTTTCCTAACCCAAGTCCTCAGCTACATGGAGGAATATGGGCAGGATATTCCCAGCGACAAAGCCCGCATCCGGATCGTGCAATCTGCCCTGGATGGACCAGCTGCGGATTGGGTAGTGAACTTGCATGACTCCAATGCCCCAGAACTCAGTAACTTCAACCGTTTCATGTCCTCTTTGAGAAGACGATTTGAAGACCCCCTGGCTGATCGCAAAGCCCGTGAAAGAATAACAACGATGAGGCAAGGCAAACGCCCAGTGGCCGAGTATACACAAGAATTCCGGGCCATTGCCAGCAAACTGAATTGGCCAGAAGACATCCTCCTTGGCCATTTCAAAGACGGACTAAACTATGATCTATATGATGCTTGCCTGCCCCGAGGGGACCCACATCGACTTGAGGAATGGTACGTCTTGGCAGAGGAAGCAGAGATCGACATATTGAAGAGGCACCGCCGAAGAAAACAATGGAGCCGCCCCCCGCCTGAGCTGACACACCAACCGGTGAAATCATCGGATACAGCCAAGAAGCAAATGGGGTGTTTCAAGTGCGGAAGAGAAGGGCATCGAGCTGTAGAATGCCGCTCAAAGGCCCCCCAGCACAACCCAGACAGATCCCCAATCAACAAACCCAGAGAGTATTCAGCTAAGCCAAAAGAAACAGCCATGAGAATGATGGAAATTGCAGAACCCCCACCTCTGCTCACCAAGGGGAAAGAACTCCAGCCTACACCACAGGGCCGGTGGATGCCTCAGATGACAGCTCGGAGGGCGAACCCCTGGTAAGTGGATGCATCACACCCATCTTCAAAACAGTGACTATATTAATCCCCCCCATGCCCGAAGCTGTGAAGGTGAAAGCCTTAATAGACTCTGGCTGCACCCGCTGCCTCATTAGCCCAACACTAGTGGGGAATCTGGGCATCCCATCCAGGAGACTGGAACAACCAATCTCATTTGGCCAGCTAGATGGATCCATAGCAGGGGGGGTGCCAGCTACCCTAGCCACTCTGCCAATACACCTCTCCCTGGGCAACCATGAAGAGGACTTAACGTTTGTGGTGACCCCAGGTATGGAATGCCCAATGATTCTAGGGATGGAATGGTTGAAAAAATGGAACCCCTGGGTAAATTGGAGGACGACAGAAATCAAATTCCCGAAGGGGGACCCTATGGACTTAAAACCCCAAGGGAGGCTACCAGAATCAAGAATAGAAAAAGCATCCATAGGAGAGGAAAAAAGATTAACAGAAATACCAGAGGAATATAGGGACCTTGCTGAAGTCTTCAGTGAGGAGAGGGCGAATGAGCTTCCCCCCCACCGACCCACAGACTGTACCATTGAATTCAAGCCTGGGGCAAAACTCCCGAAGCCCAGATTATACTCCATGAGCCCAAAGGAGAAGGAGGAAATGGAAAGATTTATTAAAAAAAACCTGGAGAGAGGTTTCATTGAGCCAGCCAAGCCTAAAGTGGCTGCCCCGGTCCTTTTTAGAGAGAAGAAGGATGGCTCTTTACGTTTATGCATGGATTATAGGGCCCTGAATACAATCAGTGAAAGCAACCTATACCCGCTGCCCCTCATGAAAGACATGCTGTCACACCTATCGAAAGGGAAAATTTTTTCTAAACTAGACTTAAGGGAAGCTTACTATCGCGTGAGAATCAAGGAAGGGGACGAATGGAAGACTGCATTTAACTGCCCCATGGGGTGCTATCAATTCAAAGTCTTGCCATTTGGATTACAAGGGGGCCCTGCAGTCTTTATGCAATTAATCAATGACGTTCTAAGGGAGCACCTATTTAAGGGGGTCCTTGTTTACTTGGACGACATTCTTATCTTTACTGAAACAAAAGAAGAACACGTCAAACTTGTCAGAGCGGTTTTAAAGAAGCTGCGAGCCGCTCACCTATATGCCAAACTCTCAAAATGCGAATTCCACCAGGAAAGGATAGACTACCTAGGCTATCGCATATCCCCACAGGGCATTGAAATGGACCCGGAGAAGGTCAAAGCAGTACTAAATTGGGCACCACCCCGCACAAGAAAGCAACTACAAAGTTTCCTGGGCTTTGCAAATTTTTACCGCCAATTCATCCCCTCATTTGCACAGATAGCCTTGCCCCTCACTAACTTACTAAAAACGAAGGGAACATCCTCAGTAAAACCTAGCCAGCCACTAACATGGACAATGGAGTGCCAAGCAGCGTTTGAGAGACTAAAGAGACTTTTTTCTGCCGAACCAGTACTAAGGCACCCAGACATGGACAAGCCCTTCATAATACAGGCAGATGCAAGTGATGTGGCAGTGGGGGCTGTGCTATTACAAGAAAATGATGATACAGTATTGCAACCCTGTGCATATACATCCAAGAAACTCACGGAAACAGAACAGCGCTGGCCCGTATGGGAGAAGGAGGCTTATGGGATACGTTGGGCATTACTCACGTGGCGACAGTTCCTGGAAGGCAACAAAATCCCCTTCCAGGTGTGGACTGATCACAAAAATTTAGAAGCCCTGAAAACTTCCAGGAAACTCAATCCCAAACAAGCCCGCTGGTCCCAGCATTTTCACCAATTCCAATTTAAGCTCAAACATTTACCAGGAAGAAAGAACTTCCTGGCAGATGCACTATCTCGCATGCCTCAATATAACAGCGCACGAACCACAGACTCTAGACCAATAATGGCAGAGTCACAACTGGCAGCGCCAGTAACCACAAGGACCCAAGCCAAAATAAAACCACAACTGGACAGCCAAACTGGGATTGAATTCAGAAAAAGTTTGGAAAAAGATGAATGGTTCCAGAAAAACAAACATGTGTGCACAATGAGAGACGGATTGCCTTGGGTAGGGGAAAAGTTATATATACCAACAACTCAAAGACTAACTTTCATGCACCTTTGCCATGACACAAAATCAGCAGGGCATTTTGGATTTGTAAAAACTTTACACTTAATTAAACGGCAATTTGGTGGCCATCAATAAAAAAGGACATAGAAAGTTATGTTGCCAGCTGCCCAACCTGTGCATCGGCAAAGAGGTTGCAAGGGAAATCGCCAGGGCTATTACAACCAGTGGCAAGTCCCTCAGCCCCCTGGAGGGAAATAGCCATGGATTTTATAGTGGAATTGCCAGAAAGCAATGGGAATACTGTTATCTGGACAGTCACGGACTATTTTCCAAACAGGTGCACTTTATCCCTTGCCAAAAGATTCCCACTGCAAAGGCCTTAGCAAAACTTTTCATCCAGCACATTTACAGATTGCACGGGGCACCCCAACGCATCATCTCTGATAGGGGAGTGCAATTTACGTCTGCATTTTGGAAGGAATTTTTATCCCTCTTAGGGACCACTCAGGGATTGACATCTAGCCACCACCCTCAGGAGATGGACAAGCGGAACGCTGCCAGTCGGTACTTGAGCAATATTTGAGATGTTTTTTAAATTTCCAACAGAGTGATTGGACGGACTTACTTCCTTTTGCAGAAGTTGCCTACAATAATGCAGTCCACTCCAGCACAGGCTACACTCCTTTTCAAATAGCCAACGGTCAAAGTTTCAACCCTATGCCAGAGTTAACCCCAAAAGAACCAACGATCCCTTCACTGAAAGATTGGACGGAAAACCTACAAAACACCTGGCCAATAGTCAGAAAATCACTAGATGAAGCTAGGCGGGCATACAAAGCACAAGCCGATAAAAAAAGGGTTGAGCCTACACCATTCATTATAGGAGAAATGGTGTACTTATCTACAAAATACCTAAAGTCCCTACAGCC